TGCTTCTGTTCACATAAAACTTTAGATAATTAAACATTTTGTCAGTTTTTATCGACCAGAAATATTTATTTTATAAACAATGCTACAAAATAATATCCTTCAAAATTTATTTTAAGGCCTCCCAGTTTCCAGAATGATTATGAATTAACCAAGTATATGATGTGATTCTTGTTCTTCCTCTGACCATGGTAAGAAAGAGTAACTGGGGTGACCTCTGTTGGTAAACAGGAAATATTTGCCCACTAATTATATTTCTTATAAACAAAGTTATCCATTTTGATTTCTCATAATAACAGTTCAAGCAGAAAAAAAAAATTCTTGAATAAAACTGGATTGAATTGTTTTTCTTATTAAAGTGTGACAGTAATGCACACATAGCCCATTGTGTAGTTTTCGCTTAACAACAACTAAGCCTATGAATAGTTGGAAAACACAGTTCAGTCTGCCTGTCATATTTTTGAAATGGAATTATAGATAATAATAATACCTTTTACACCAATCATCTTGTTAAGATAAAAGCACAGATGATAATAACAGTTTAGTGAATTTGATATGGCACGAAATCAATAGTCACCATCAGTTTTGTAGCTTTAGATGGAAATATTTAGATCTAACACTAAACGTACAGTTATCCCCATTCCTTGGTGAATGTTTGGATCACTTGAGCTATCCCAAATGATCTAGAATTAATTTTGTTTGTTTATTGAGTTTCATGCAAATGTACTTGAGAGCTATCTGCTCTAGACATCCCTAGATTAGAAGTGACAGGCTAGAGAGAAGGTAGTAAGTCAAAATCAACCACCTTCATCTCGTAGGCTACTCTAATCGAGTAGTGGGATTAACAGTCACATTATAATGTCCACGTGAATGAAATGAGTGAGCGTTTTTTGTGATGGGATTCGAACCCACAATCCATAGATTGTAATTTCAGCACCCTTGTCACCTAGCCATGCCATGCCTGTTTAGTTTTGAATGTTTGTATTTAACACCTAACAAGCATTTATCCCCCAGTGATCTAGATTTGGTTGTGAATGGTTGCATTTAACACCTAACAGAGAGTTATCCCCAGTGATCTAAGTTGAATTGGTAATGTTGGGATATGGCATGTAACAAATAGTTGTCAGTAATTATCCAACTTAAGTTGGGAACGTTTGGCGTTTGACGAAAACTTGTCACCAGTTACCTAGGTGGGAATGTTGGGATTTAGCATGAAACAAATAGTTATCAGCAATTATCTATACTTATAAAAGTAAAAAAAAAGAAGTGTTTGTCCATTTGTTTATCCTGCTACATGGTCTTATGTAATATAATACATTGGACCAAGGGGCATGTCTTGGGAGGTTATTACCTGGCACCACCACTCTGGGATGTGCTAACATGAAAAATATGTTTATTTAGCTAATGACTCCACAATTTGGACCAATTTTTATTCCTAAAACTTTTTTTATTTTGAGGTTTTTCAGGAAATTCTTTTTCAGTTCTTTTTTGAAAATTTTGAGTTCTTTCATTCAAAATGTCAAATTTTTGCCAGGAAAAATAGTAACCAAAGCATAAGGTCATAATCCTAAAGTGGCAGGGATACATTTGAAACCCCTTGCTTATCATATAGTCAACTCTATATTAGGTGTTCAAGAGTAGAATCACCAATAAATCTCTCTATTTTGGCCCAGAGAGGAGAAAGAACTTCTAATGTGGTCTATCAAGAAGCATTCAGAGTATTAACAAACACTGAGGCTGTAGAAAGGGATTTTTAAAAGAATAAAGTCAAGTAATGTAACGTAATTGTAACATCATTTCTGTGATGTGGAATAAAGTAGGTGCAAAATAAATTATGTTTAGAAATACAAATTCTTGACTTAATTTGTTAGTTCAAGCCCTACATTTATTCCTTATGCCCCAAACATAGTACTTGTGCCTCAGCTTGTGTATCTATAGTCTAGAATGTTTGGACTTGATATGTAACAGACAGTTATCACCAGTGATGTACATTTAGTAGGAATGTTTGAATCTGATGAGTAACAATTTGTTATCACTAGTTATTTGTCTTTAGTTGGGAATCTGGACATGACACTTAACAATCTGTAGTCTAGAATGTTTGGACTTGATATGCAATGGACAGTTATCACCAGTGATGTATATTTAGTAGAAATGTTTGAATCTGATGAGTAACAATTTGTTATCACCAGTTATCTGTCTTTAGTTGGGAATCTGAACATGACACTTAACAATCTGTAGTCTAGAATGTTTGGACAGTTATCACCAGTGATGTATATTTAGAGGAATGTTTGAATCTGATGAGAAACAATTTGTTATCACCAGTTATCTGTCTTTAGTTGGGAATCTGGACATGACACTTAACAATCTGTAGTCTAAAATGTTTGGACTTGATATGTAATGGACAGTTATCACCAGTGATGTATATTTAGTAGAAATGTTTGAATCTGATGAGTAACAATTTGTTATCACCAGTTATCTGTCTTTAGTTGGGAATCTGGACATGACACTTAACAAAACGTTATGATCAGTTATTTGAGTATATTATTACGTCTCCGTTTGTTAATTGATTTTCCGTAACTTCGTTCCGTTGAAACTTTAGCGACACAAGTCCTTGCTTAATATAACTGATTTATTCTTTCCGAATATAACTTTACGATA